CGTGTGTCTGTTCGATGGGCGTGTGTGTATTCGATGGGCGTGTGTCTGTTCCCTGGCCGTGTGTGTGTTCGATGTGCGTGTGTCTGTTCGATGGGCGTGTGTGTGTTCGATGTGCGTGTGTCTGTTCGATGGGCGTGTGTGTGTTCGATGGGCGTGTGTCTGTTCGATGGGCATGTGTGTGTTCGATGGGCGTGTGTGTGTTCGATGGGCGTGTGTCTGTTCGATGGGCGTGTGTCTGTTCGATGGGCGTGTGTGTGTTCGATGGGCGTGTGTCTGTTCGATGGGCGTGTGTGTATTCGATGGGCGTGTGTCTGTTCCCTGGCCGTGTGTGTGTTCGATGTGCGTGTGTCTGTTCGATGGGCGTGTGTGTGTTCGATGTGCGTGTGTCTGTTCGATGGGCGTGTGTGTGTTCGATGGGCGTGTGTCTGTTCGATGGGCATGTGTGTGTTCGATGGGCGTGTGTGTGTTCGATGGGCGTGTGTGTGTTCGATGGGCGTGTGTGTGTTCGATGGGCGTGTGTCTGTTCGATGGGCGTGTGTGTGTTCGATGGGCGTGAGTGTGTTCGATGGGTGTGTTCGTGTGTGTGTTCGACAGACACACACGCCCATCATTCGATGGGCGTGTGTGTGTTCGATGGGCGTGTGTCTGTTCGATGGGCGTGTGTGTGTTCGATGGGCGTGTGTCTGTTCGGTGGGCGTGTGTGTGTTCGATGGGCGTGTGTCTGTTCGATGGGCGTGTGTGTGTTCGATGGGCGTGTGTCTGTTCGGTGGGCGTGTGTGTGTTGGATGGGCGTGTGTGTGTTCGATGTGCGTGTGTCTGTTCGATGGGCGTGTGTGTGTTCGATGGGCGTGTGTCTGTTCGATGGGCGTGTGTGTGTTCGATGGGCGTGTGTCTGTTCGATGGGGGTGTGTGTGTTCGATGGGCGTGTTTGTGTTCGATGGGCGTGTGTGTGTTCGATGGGCGTGTGTCTGCTCGATGGGCGTGTGTGTGTTCGATGGGCGTGTGTGTGTTCGATGTGCGTGTGTGTGTTCGATGTGCGTGTGTCTGTTCGATGGGCGTGTGTCTGTTCGATGGGCGTGTGTCTGTTCGATGGGCGTGTGTGTGTTCGATGGGGTGTGTCTGTTCGATGGGCGTGTGTCTGTTCGATGGGCGTGTGTGTGTTCGATGGGCGAGTGTGTCTGTTCGATGGGCGTGTGTGTTCGATGGGCGTGTGTGTTCGATGGGCGTGTGTGTGTTCGAAGGGCGTGTGTGTGTTCGATGGGCGTGTGTGTGTGTTCGATGGGCGTGTGTCTGTTCGATGGGCGTGTGTCTGTTCGATGGGCGTGTGTGTGTTCGATGGGCGTGTGTGTGTTCGATGGGCGTGTGTGTGTTCGATGGGCGTGTGTGTGTTCGATGGGCGTGTGTGTGTTCGATGGGCGTGTGTGTGTTGGATGGGCGTGTGTCTGTTCGATGGGCGTGTGTGTGTTCGATGGGCGTGTGTGTGTTGGATGGGCGTGTGTCTGTTCGATGGGCGTGTGTGTGTTGGATGGGCGTGTGTGTGTTGGATGGGCGGGTGTGTGTTGGATGGGCGTGTGTCTGTTCGATGGGCGTGTGTGTGTTCGATGGGCGTGTGTGTGTTCGATGGGCGTGTGTGTGTTCGATGGGCGTGTGTCTGTTCGATGGGCGTGTGTCTGTTCGATGGGCGTGTGTCTGTTCGATGGGCGTGTGTGTGTTCGATGGGCGTGTGTGTGTTCGATGGGCGTGTGTGTGTTCGATGGGCGTGTGTGTGTTCGATGGGCGTGTGTCTGTTCGATGGGCGTGTGTGTGTTCGATGGGCGTGTGTGTGTTCGATGGGCGTGTGTGTGTTCGATGGGCGTGTGTGTGTTCGATGGGCGTGTGTGTGTTCGATGGGCGTGTGTGTGTTCGATGGGCGTGTGTCTGTTCGATGGGCGTGTGTCTGTTCGATGGGCGTGTGTGTGTTCGATGGGCGTGTGTGTGTTCGATGGGCGTGTGTGTTCGATGGGCGTGTGTCTGTTCGATGGGCGTGTGTGTGTTCGATTGGCGTGTGTGTGTTCGATGGGCGTGTCTGTGTTCGATGGGCGTGTGTGTGTTCGATGGGCGTGTCTGTGTTCGATGGGCGTGTGTGTGTTCGATGGGCGTGTGTGTTCGATGGGCGTGTGTCTGTTCGATGGGCGTGTGTGTGTTCGATTGGCGTGTGTGTGTTCGATGGGCGTGTGTGTGTTCGATGGGCGTGTGTCTGTTCGATGGGCGTGTGTCTGTTCGATGGGCGTGTGTCTGTTCGATGGGCGTGTGTGTGTTCGATGGGCGTGTGTGTGTTCGATGGGCGTGTGTGTGTTCGATGGGCGTGTGTGTGTTCGATGGGCGTGTGTCTGTTCGATGGGCGTGTGTGTGTTCGATGGGCGTGTGTGTGTTCGATGGGCGTGTGTGTGTTCGATGGGCGTGTGTGTGTTCGATGGGCGTGTGTGTGTTCGATGGGCGTGTGTCTGTTCGATGGGCGTGTGTCTGTTCGATGGGCGTGTGTGTGTTCGATGGGCGTGTGTGTGTTCGATGGGCGTGTGTGTGTTCGATGGGCGTGTGTGTGTTCGATGGGCGTGTGTGTGTTCGATGGGCGTGTGTGTGTTTGATGGGCGTGTGTGTGTTTGATGGGCGTGTGTCTGTTCGATGGGGGTGTGTGTGTTCGATGGGCGTCTGTGTGTTCGATGGGCGTGTGTGTGTTCGATGGGCGTGTGTGTGTTCGATGGGCGTGTGTCTGTTCGATGGGCGTGTGTCTGTTCGATGGGCGTGTGTGTTTTCGATGGGCGTGTGTGTGTTCGATGGGCGTGTGTGTGTTCGATGGGCGTGTGTCTGTTCGATGGGCGTGTGTCTGTTCGATGGGCGTGTGTGTGTTCGATGGGCGTGTGTCTGTTCGATGGGGATGTGTGTGTTCGATGGGCGTGTGTCTGTTCGATGGGGATGTGTGTGTTTGATGGGCGTGTGTGTGTTCGATGGGCGTGTGTGTGTTCGATGGGCGTGTGTCTGTTCGATGGGCGTGTGTCTGTTCGATGGGCGTGTGTGTGTTCGATGGGCGTGTGTGTGTTCGATGGGCGTGTGTGTGTTCGATGGGCGTGTGTGTGTTCGAAGGGCGTGTGTGTGTTCGATGGGCGTGTGTGTGTTCGATGGGCGTGTGTGTGTTCGATGGGCGTGTGTCTGTTCGATGGGCGTGTGTGTGTTTGATGGGCGTGTGTGTGTTTGATGGGCGTGTGTCTGTTCGATGGGGGTGTGTGTGTTCGATGGGCGTCTGTGTGTTCGATGGGCGTGTGTGTGTTCGATGGGCGTGTGTGTGTTCGATGGGCGTGTGTCTGTTCGATGGGCGTGTGTCTGTTCGATGGGCGTGTGTGTTTTCGATGGGCGTGTGTGTGTTCGATGGGCGTGTGTGTGTTCGATGGGCGTGTGTCTGTTCGATGGGCGTGTGTCTGTTCGATGGGCGTGTGTGTGTTCGATGGGCGTGTGTCTGTTCGATGGGGATGTGTGTGTTCGATGGGCGTGTGTCTGTTCGATGGGGATGTGTGTGTTTGATGGGCGTGTGTGTGTTCGATGGGCGTGTGTGTGTTCGATGGGCGTGTGTCTGTTCGATGGGCGTGTGTCTGTTCGATGGGCGTGTGTGTGTTCGATGGGCGTGTGTGTGTTCGATGGGGATGTGTGTGTTCGATGGGCGTGTGTGTGTTCGATGGGCGTGTGTCTGTTCGATGGGCGTGTGTCTCTTTTCGATGGGCGTGTGTGTGTTCGATGGGCGTGTGTCTGTTCGATGGGCGTGTGTGTGTTCGATGGGCATGTGTCTGTTCGATGGGCGTGTGTCTGTTCGATGGGGATGTGTGTGTTCGATGGGCATGTGTGTGTTCGATGGGGATGTGTGTGTTCGATGGGCATGTGTGTGTTCGATGGGCGTGTGTGTGTTCGATGGGCGTGTGTCTGTTCGATGGGCGTGTGTCTCTTTTCGATGGCCGTGTGTGTGTTCGATGGGCGTGTGTGTGTGTGTTCGATGGGCGTGTGTGTGTTCGATGGGCGTGTGTG